AGTATACTTACAGCTGCTGAAGAGCTAAGGCCAGAACTGTCTAGACCATCAGCACCACAGATAAATCCAGTAATGCCCTGCAATATAAGAGTCAACTTTTTCGTATTTGAGTACCTGTGTAAGCAGTATTACAATGACTTTGTCTGGTAATGAGACGTTTGGGGTTTTAACTAGATTCTTTGGCACGTTAATATTCTAATTAGTTTTTTTTGGATCAAAATGTTGATTTCAAAGAAGTTGGCTGAAGGAAAGATCAAGATCAGGAGAAACATTTGAATCTAAAGAGGGGGAATTCATATAATTCCATAAAACAAAGAATAAATTCCAACAGTCACGTAGAAAACAATAAAAGGAAAACAAAAGAAGATTACTTGAAATAATTATTTTAAGAGGTTTAACTGTTAAAAAGAAGATGGAATCAAAATTTTTAGCAGGTAGTAACTCAAGTAAAATACAAGATGAAATTGAACCTCAATGGGTTCCATAAACTTGAAACTCCTCTAAATTTTTTGTAGTCATCTCCCCAAGAAAGACAAAAAAAAAAAAAAAAAAAGTCTTCCACACTACAGCTCATAGATTATCTTAGATCAGTACTTTCATTCTACTGCACAAGTACTGCTACTCTTGAAACAAGTATTTTATTTCCTTACATTGTGCAAGACGCAACATTCTCCTTGTTTTGGTGCCGAAATAAAAATGATAGACAAGTAGATGAAAGGAACTACGATGGCTTGTAGACCTCAAAAATATCGTCTTTCCGTAAATAAATCATAGAGTACAAAATTTTAATCAATCAGTAGATAAGACTCAAGAAACAAGCACCTGCTTTATAGAGTTTCCTTTCTTTTGTAATGCATAAAGAGCTCCTCTGGCATAACTTCCCCAGCTACATTCCTCCTGTGAACTCGAATCATTTAACTTGGCAGCACTTTTGGGCAGTTGTTCTTCATTTACACTGTGAACCCATAAGACACAAACCAAATTTTTTGGTCTCATGAGTACCATTATTTCTTGTTGGGATTGTTTTTAAAGTGAGTAAAACAAAAAACAATAATGTGATAACCTGAATCTAACTTCTCCCTTGAACTGTGCTGACTGTATTAGAACCTACAAAACAATAGCAACAGTGCCAATAAGACTACAACATCAACTCAAACAATAATATATGAAACGAGTTTCAAAACAAAATTCTGCAAACGTGTACCCTTAAAATCAGAGCAAGCAAAGAAACCCAAGAAAGACAAGGATATTCTTTTGGAAAAACAAATTTTGAATATGCATAATTTAAGAATCCATACATTTCGCTACTTAACCCCTAACATACGCACAATGATGTTCTAGATCAATCATGAGGCCTAGAATAAAATATCAAACACAATGTCACTGCATTTGTTTGTTTACTAAGCTTTGGACTGATCTCATGTACTTCATATACCATTAATTAAAGAACTTCATAAATGTTTTAACGCTTCTTCTCCTTACCATTGATATTGTATCGTGGTAAGTGTCATACCTGAGAATCTTCGGAAGGAACAAATCCAAGGAGTATACCCTTATTGATGGTCATAGCTGAAACAATTCCACCCTGTTAACAACTAGAAAATGACTTTCTGGTTCATAATTCAAGTACACTATTGTTCCTAACAGGCAACTGTAAGATAAAATTGTCCATCAGCTCAAAACTCACAGATTCAGCCGACACAGATCTGGTGCATAGTTTAAACATCAATAACCCAGAAAAATGGATCACGTATAATAATGCCACAAAGCACGTACCTGATGATCAATATGAGCTCCGAGCGGACAAATCCTATAGGGGGATGCAACAACCCGGACCTCCTCAGAATCTTTTCCAGATATTTCAGCAACTTTTGTTCTGATTGCATTCAACTGCAAAAGCAACAGACGAGGACTATTGAACCAAACTATACCTAAGCACACATGGAAAAAGGAACTTGAAGCATTTTATGATGTAAACTGGCTCATCCTAGGCTTACAATACATAACGAAAATTTACTGTTGAGACAGAAAAAAAGGAGAAAGTCGAACTATATAAAGCTAAGTAAACAATTGCACAGCTAAAGTAAAGGATATGTCAAGTTACATTGGTTCCAAACTAATACCCACATGGGCTCAAGTTATATCAGCTAATGAATAGTTTATCTTCATCCCTTACAAACTTGCTACATTCTTTGGACATCATATTTCGATAAACATAAAACAAGTTAACCCACTCTACGCAGTAAAAGCTGTTAACACAACGCACACAACAGCAAATATTCCAAAGCCTGTAAAGATCAGAGCTTTTTTAAGTACACTACTAAAATTCATACACACTAGTTTAACTTGTCTGCCGGCCGCTTAGGCGCCACCTCCGATTTGCATGAATAGACTGAAAAAACTGGCTGAGATAATTCTATTTTGCAGGTAGTGAATATAAATAAATAAAAACAAGGTATTCAGTCTCGGTTTCTACGTCGTGCCTAGGCGCTGGTCGAGCACCTAGTAGCCACCTAGCGACTTCTATCAGCATTACATACATTATGTACTCACTCGCGGGACATGAAAGCTAACAATCAAGAACTCAAGAAAATCGACTCAGATAATCAACTCCCAAAATCGCATAGACTATTATAAAACCCACCAAATTATTCACTGAAAACGCCATTTTCACAAGGGATCAAGAATTTACCTCCGATTCAGAAGGCCACCGCATTGTACGAACTGGGCTGGGCTGTCTCGCTCGTACTATCTCTGTTTTTTGTTAGTAGAGAGAAATGCGTGTGTTATTAGAGAGAGATAAAGTGGAGGTGAAAGACATTTGTTAACAAAATGCAATGATTAATGTTGATTTGAGGTTGGAAGAGAAATTAGTTGATCAGTTATATTTCCATATCGTTTTCGATTTTTACGTGGCACCACTCGTGCGGTAAAAAATGATAAATATTAAGGGCGTGATTGGATATAAATATATCGGTTCAAAATAATTTTCTTTTTTCTTTTTAGTTAACAAGTTTAATTTTGATAAAAATTGTATATTAATTGTGAGTAGATGAATAGTGAATTAAAGTTGATGTGATGTGTAAATGTAAAGTTCGCTTATTTTGCAATACAAAACACTAACTTCTCAGAAGTTTGAAATTTTTTGGAAATTATTTTTCGATTTAAAATACTTTTCGGGCATTGCTCAAAAATTTTTCATTTTCTTTCCTTAGCTTAAAATACGTTAAGCTCTTTGGGAATTCATTTTCCCAAACTTTCCTCTTCACAATAGCGCGACATAATAAAATCCTCATTCGTAAACAGTCTCGAAACATCATTCATTTCCATAAAATCCAAATAACGTAAGTTCAGAAATGTTTTGCAGAAGCAATTATGAACATAAAACATAGATATGACCACCCCGACTCCTTGTGACCGCCGCCAGCTACTTAACCTGAAAAACGATAATTTATGGGGTAAGCAAACAACTAGCTCATCTTGAGAATTACTATGCAATATATTCAGTATAACAACAGTATATGATCGCAGCATGAACATAAATCATAATCATCACATCACATTCATCTCCATCCATTACATCCGACTCATGTGTACACATCTTAAAACCGTGGAAGGTTGATACCGCACTCATAAACGGAAGCATATTCTCGAAGGTCGAGACCGCACTCAACGACAGGAATACCTTGTCGTGGTCGAAACCACACTCAACGACAGCTGTACATGGTTCATATACATACGTTAATTATCGAATCACGCGATTATAAAGAATAAAGACATAGTAAATTATGAACACCCACCTTAACTGCTGATCACGATAGATGAAAATGCACGCAAAACTGCGCGAGAGCTCGACTCTTTTTAATCTACCATTTAGTAATTTAATTAATTATTAATAAGGGCTTTGATTTGGTTGATTAGGTCTTACAAACAAATAACAAAAACAGAGCAAGTAAAGCACACAAAACAAGTAAGTAAGACAAACAAGGCAGATAGGACAAATAGGAGTTCTCGAATAATTTCTAAAGCCCAAAAATTCTAATTTTCATTGGACTAAACGGCTGATTCGTGCCCAGTCAGACCCAATTCGGCTTGTTGGCTGCTCGGTCGACCTGGCTGTAGCCCCTCGACTTGGGTCCACTACACTAGACGCGCTCATGGTTGCGCGGTCTGCAGGCTTAGGCGCACCCATGGCTGCGCACTATCACCGAAAAGTACTAGGTCTGGGGCTTAGGTGCTTTCACTAGCTGCGTTGGTCACGAGGATGCACTAGGTCGCTGTTGGGCTACATGGATGCGCAGTTCTGCTGGCGTGCTGGTGTTGGGACGCTGAGGGCGCGCAGGGGTGCGAATAATCACTCAGTTGCGATGCGACTAGTCACGGGGCGCGCGCGAGCGGTGAGCTGCAGTCGCGGGGCTGCGCAAGGGCACCGTGACACGAGCGTTTGGGTGCGAGCTGTCGTGCGGCGTTTACAGAGTGACTTCGACATAGCGCGTGGGCGTGGGACACTGGTTGCGGTGTTGTGTGCGCGCGCTGGGGTGCGGCTGCGGCAAATGACTAGGTCGCCCTATGACCTGCTGCCAGTCGAGCCCGACTAGAGGCTTATCCGGCGAATTTTGCCAGCTAACTTACATTTTTCCAGCCAAACTTCTAGCTATTTAATACTCATAATATACTGAATCTAACCAAGGCAAAAGATATTTAAGGGCAACCTAACCAAGGCCTAAATTCACCTTCTTTCCTTTCTCTTTTCTTAAGGCCAACACTTCTATATTTTCTCTAAACATCTAAGGCCACAAAAACTGATTAAACACTCTAAAAAGTACACATTTTCAGCATACAAATCACACCAACATGGCTCAGCAACATGTTCATAACATGCATGGATTAAGGCAGTGTTTGGTTCGAGGGAAACGGAGGGGAGGGTATTTTTTAATTTTCCATTGTTTGGTTCAATTTTATGTAAGGGGAGGGGTTATAATTTTCCCTTCAAATCCCTCCTCCAAGGGAAAATACTCTTCCCTCCAAAAGTGGAGGAATTTGGAGGGGAGAGAAAATTTTTAATAACAAAATTACACTTTTGACCTTAATTATATGAATTATTTTATTTTTTTGTTTTTTACATCATTAAGAGTAGAACTGTCATTTTTACAATATTTTCTTTCCCTTCCATTTTCTAACCAAACAAGATTTACCATTTTTCCTCCACTCACCTCCTACAAAATCCCTCCAAATCTCTCACCTCCCCTCCCCTCCCCTCACCTCCCTTCCATTAAAATCCCTCCCCTCCCTTTCCCTTACTTGAACCAAACATAGGCTAAGGTCTCAAAATATAATACACATGCTATCTTTTTTTCTTTCCCTTTTTCTCAATTTCAAACAACACTTGGGCCTTATTACCGAACTTAAATGCTATAAAATATACTCAATTTCAACACGATAAATATCACGAAAGAGTTAAGCAATTAAGGCAAAAAACCGCAAAATAACTAAAATTTGAAAGGTAAAACAGATAATCAAACTGACATGTAAATTTTGAACAAAAAAAACTTAGTTTGGTCAGGTTCAGTCGCTGTAGTGCAATATGACAATCATTAATGTGCACTCCATAAAACATTAATTTGCATTCAAAATGCAACGATTCTTTTTTATACTAATATATTTAGTATTTATTTAATACTTTATATTATTTTTGGTTGAACACAAATAATATATACATATATAAAATATAAAAATAATAGTTTTTGTATAGTTCGGTCGATTCTGTTATTATATATTTTTTTTTGTAAATAAATTAAAAATCGGACTAAAATAACTAAAATTTTAATATTTGTAAAAATGCACATTGTTATGTTAATGTGCATTCTCGAGCGCATTAACATGCATTTAGTCTAACGCTATGGTGCAACTTAACAGTTACCAATGTACATAATGTTGTACAATATGGCGCATTCTATGCATTGTAGGTTTTTTTGTGTGCAAATCCAAATTAAAACGAATCAAAACAATTGGGTTATTCAGTTGGTTAATTGAAATAACCAAAATAATTGAAATAATTTATTATTTATAAAAATATAATGTATTTAATATTTTTATTTAATATTAAAAATACATAAAAAAATAATATTTTATTAATATTTTTATTTAATATCATAAATAAAAAATATAAAAGAAATAATATTTGTATATAGTATTTCATATTTATTTTTTGTTGAAATTGCATAATATATATATGTATAAAAAATATATAAAAACTCATATTTTCTATATACTTTCATAATTTACATATTTCGCCCATGAACTTAATTGAAATATATATAAATTCTTAAAATTGCACTTAGGTCCTTTGAGATTATCAAATTCTCATTAAAGAAACCGAATCACCCCAACCTTTTGTTTTTTGGCGACTAAAAAGACTTGAATGATTGCGGAGGTGGGCAGTGCCTGTGGCGGCAGCGGCCGGTGAAGGAGTTCCACAATGCCGAGTGGCTTGATGGTGCCATTTTTACGAGACCGACGACGCTGGGCACGACGAGACTAGCAGCGCGACGAGATTAGTGATCGCGACCGTTTGGATGAGACCAGCGGTGCGTGAGGAGAAGGCGTTGAGAGGCGACAATGGCAAGGCGACGGGGTGGCAGCGAGCGGTGGAGTGGAGGGGAGGGGGGGAGGACCGACGGTCGTGAGCAGCGTCAGGATTGGCTCAAATTTGCTTGCAGGAGTTTGTGCGTGAGTGTGTGTCATGTGTGTGCGTGTGTATAATGTGTGTATGTGTGTATAGAGTGTGTTGTGTTTATTGTGTGTGCGTGTGGTTGGAGAGAGAG